ACCTTGTCGCTCTAGAATGTTGTCCCTATTATGACGTCACAATATATATGTAATGACGTCATACTGTAACCGCTACAATCTCCCTGAAGAGTAAAGAACGAAACATGTTGGAGAAAAAGGCATTCTGTTTTTATTTATCTATGCAATATATATATATATATATATATATATATATATATATATATATATATATATATCTAAAAGAAAGTGATGAGAATACCGAGCGTACAGTAGTACATATATAAGAAGAAGTTTCTGAAATAATCACACGACACGGATCTTCTCCAACATGTTTCACTTTTATCTTCAGGGAGAAGTGATTACAGTTAAAACGGATTATGTTTTGACGTCAATTTGTCATGACGTCACATTGGCGGCTTTATATTGACAGTACTAGTAGCACAATGAAAACAAGTATAATTCAGACACATTGCGTTACCTATTTAACGATGGACACAATTCTTTGATGAAAAAGTTTTCTCTAGCTTTACGCTGCATGGCGTCAGCAGTATTCATTTTATAGAAAGGGAATATTTTAAATTTTATTTCCTTTCCTGCTGCGCATTTGTCAATGTGAGCGCTTAGGGGATGCACCTTGTTTTGGGGTCCTTAGTCTGTTGTTTATGGACGCGCATTCTGTCCCTCAAGCACTCCGTTTGTCCAATGTATTCTTCATGACACCCTTGGCATATAATAACATAAATAATATGTTTTGCGGAGCAGTCCATGTTAGAGCGTACATGAAATAATTGTTTCCTGTTTTTGAACTTTATACATGAAGTTTCAAGTATATATTCACAAGTTCCACAATTTCCCCGTTTACATTTTGTGACACTGAATTCTGTAGGTTCAATACATGAGTCGAATGTGGCACGTGTCAATATGTGTTTTAAGTTACGGCTTTGGCGTTTACTCTTTATCATTGTTACATTAGCCATAATTCGATTCATTTTCATATCAGCATTTAAAATTGGAACATTTTGTCTTATGATATGAAAAAGTTCCTGATTCTTGGGGTTGTGCGTTGAAACATAGGCCAGATTGACAGTGTTATTTATTTGTTTATCACGAACTTTCAACAGTGTCCTTCTGTCTATGTTTATTGCTTTCTTCATTCCATCTTCCACAAGAAGAACTGGGTATCCACGGTACTGTAGATATGATTTTAGTTCTGCAAGTCGCATGTTCCTTGTCGGTATTTGTGACACAATCATGCAGATACGTCTTGCTAAGTTATAGGGAATGCTTCTCTTTATATGACTCGGGTGGCAAGATGAAAAATGAAGGTATTGTTTAGTATCTGTAGGTTTATAATATATATCTGTTTCTAGATTACGTCCTCATAGTTTTACCATGATGTCCAAAAATGGAATTTCAGAATAATTTGAGTCCATGGTAAAATGTAAATGTTTGTTCAAGTTATTTAGGATGTTATAAAACAGAGTTAATTTTTCATCTCCAAAGGGCCATAACATGAAGCAATCGTCAAGAAAACGTCGCCAATTTGTTCTAAAGTATTCAGCGACTTCAGGTCCTAACTGTTCTTTTACTTTGGTTTCCAGAGTTCGTTCCAAATACCCTAAAACTAACGTAGCATACGTGGGTGCCATTTTGGTTCCCATTGCTGTACCCTTCATTTGTCTATAATGTTCCCCATCAAAATTAAATGTATTATTATTCAATATGAATGTAACACTTTCTATGACGAATTCCTTGGAGAATCGTGTTGGGAGTAATGCTGGATATTCGTGTAACCAGAATGATATAGCTTCAATGTATATATATATATTTGAGCCCAAAGATTAAAAGAAATCGTTCTGATTGATTCGACTCGGTAAATGACTGCTTAGTCGAACGGTATTTGCCCATCAGAGCAAGCCGAGAGTGTCTCATATAAGCAACGGGGTTCATTGCTTCCTTGATCATTCCTGCATTGAATAGCATCACTGGAGGGGGCCATGCCTTTTGTCGTGTCGCTGCGAAACATGTCTGTAGTGATATTGTTAGTTTGAGGCAGTTGGGTTTGCTGGATGATTTTGAGTGTCTCTGGATACATTGGGGCACACCTTGATGAACAGCCACTGGGATCCGTTACACCAGGCTGCTGCCGCGGCTAATGATCAATGGCTACCGCATGGAGCAAGGTTTAGACAGTCAGGGCTTTCAGGCAGGAATTCGCAAGGCTCTAGATGAGGAAAGAATAGGTCGTCCCCGTTCAATTCCCGTTCTCACATCTCTACTGCATTTGATAAAGATAATTCTAGATTTGTGTCAGAGCCTACCTGTAGGTATTGTTGTAAGTCAGGGCACATAATTTCTTCAGTCATTTTTCGACAATGGTTTTTGTGGATGTCAAGTCTCAACCTTTGTGTGTCTCTGCCGGCATGTAGTTAGCTACGTAGACCAGTCATCAAAGTCTGCAGTTGTGAACGCATTTTTGTTCTGTAGATTTTTTGAGTTGCGATACTTGAAACTTTCAGCTTTGTGATTCCAGATGGAGTTCAATACAACGTCATGCCGTTTTGGTTCACGAATGCCACATTCACCTTCAAGCTCCCCATCAATGACAACAAAGCCAATGTTGAAGGTGTCGAGTATGTCATCTCAGGCTCAGTGGAGTGACACGAGCACTTGTACAGCATCCACGCTTTCTGTGGCCCAATGGAGTGACACGGGCACCTGTACAGCATCCACGCTTTCTTTGGCCCAATGGAGTGACACGATCACCTGTACAGCATCCATGCTTTCTGTGGCCCAATGGAGTGACACGAGTACCTGTACAGCATCGACGCTTTCTTTGGCCCAATGGAGTGACACGATCACCTGTACAGCATCCACGCTTTCTGTGGCCCAATGGAGTGACACGATCACTTGTACAGCATCCGTGCTTTCTGTGGCCCAATGGAGTGACACGATCACCTGTACAGCATCCATGCCTTCTCTGGCCCAATGGAGTGACACGAGCACCTGTACAGCATCCACGCTTTTTGTGGCCCAATGGAGTGACACGATCACCTGTACAGCATCCACGCTTTCTGTGGCCCAATGGAGTGACACGATCATTTGTACAGCATCCGTGCTTTCTCTGGCCCAATGGAGTGACACGATCACCTGTACAGCATCCATGCCTTCTCTGGCCCAATGGAGTGACACGAGCACCTGTACACCATCCACGCTTTCTGTGGCCCAATGGAGTGACACGAGCACCTGTACAGCATCCACGCTTTCTGTGGCCCAATGGAGTGACACGAGCACCTGTACAGGATTCATGCCTTCTCTGGCCCAATGGAGTGACACGAGCACCTGTACAGCATCCACGCTTTTGTGGCCCAATGGAGTGACACGATCACCTGTACAGCATCCACGCTTTATGTGGCCCAATGGAGTGACACGATCATTTGTACAGCATCCGTGCTTTCTCTGGCCCAATGGAGTGACACGATCACCTGTACAGCATCCATGCCTTCTCTGGCCCAATGGAGTGACACGAGCACCTGTACAGCATCCACGCTTTCTGTGGCCCAATGGAGTGACACGAGCACCTGTACAGCATCCACGCTTTCTCTGGCCCAATGGAGTGACACGAGCACCTGTACAGGATTCATGCCTTCTCTGGCCCAATGGAGTGACACGAGCACCTGTACAGGATTCATGCCTTCTCTGGCCCAATGGAGTGACACGAGCACCTGTACAGGATTCATGCCTTCTCTGGCCCAATGGAGTGACACGAGCACCTGTACAGGATTCATGCCTTCTCTGGCCCAATGGAGTGACCTGTACACGAGCACCTTGTACAGGATTCATGCCTTCTCTGGCCCAATGGAGTGACACGAGCACCTGTACAGGATTCATGCTTTCTCTGGCCCAATGGAGTGACACGATCACCTGTACAGGATTCATGCTTCTCTGGCCAAATGGAGTGACACGATCACCTGTACAGGATTCATGCCTTCTCTGGCCCATTGGAGTGACACGAGCACTTGTACAGGATTCATGCCTTCTCTGGCCCAATGGAGTGACACGAGCACCTGTACAGGATTCATGCTTTCTCTTGCCCAATGGAGTGACACGAGCACCTGTACAGCATCCACGCTTTCTCTGGCCCATTGGAGTGACACGAGCACCTGTACAGCATCCACGCTTTCTGTGGCCCAATGGAGTGACACGGTCACCTGTACAGCATCCACGCTTTCTCTGGCCCAATGGAGTGACACGAGCACCTGTACAGGATTCATGCCTTCTCTGGCCCAATGGAGTGACACGATCACCTGTACAGCATCCACGCTTTCTCTTGCCCAATGGAGTGACACGAGCACCTGTACAGCATCCACGCTTTCTCTGGCCCATTGGAGTGAAACGAGCACCTGTACAGGATTCATGCTTTCTCCGACTCAGTGGAGTGAAGCTCACCGTGTGTTTAGTGAAATGTGGACTTGCGCTGGCAGATTACTGAATTTGTCAGGAGCCACTCCCAGTGGCAAGCAAAGGTAGAAGTTATTTCAAAATATCAGTTTTTCCTAGTATATAGAGAAGCATATGAGGTCTCAAAGAACACTTTGGAAAGCACATGTCGTGCAAAACTAAGTCTGTGAACTAAGACAATGGAAGCAGGTATAGCTAACAGAACCAACATCAACAGATAGCCAAAACATGCAAGCTGGCGTTTTGTCTCATTGGTAAAGATTACACTCACATCTTTACTGGGGAAAAATCAACATGTGGTCTTAAGTTTTTGCGTTTCATGAGTCAATATATCTTGCATACACAGTAGCTTTAAAACATTGACCAGATCTGTTGTTGGATTGATTTATTGATGGATTGATCAACATCAGTTATCATGCTTGGTCATGGTAGCCTGGGCTAGGAGTGGGCGGGTTGAGTGGTTGGCGGGTGTTGGTGGTAATAAGAACTAACAAGACAAGCTTATACATGCAAAAGAAAGAATTCTGTTACATGTGACAGTTATGTGACAATATTCATACTCTATAAAGATGTCTGACCTTTCTGCTGGGACATACACTTCAATGCTTCCAGGCTGACCTCGACGATCACCTGCCAGACCACGTAGCTGGATAGGACGTACACCATGTAATCAGGGGCGCCCGACTTGCTCAGCTTCAGTCCGAAGAAGATAGTGATCACTAGAACAAATTCACGAAGAAAGGTGTACAGTGAATCACTTCACTCAAACAACACACTCTTCATTTGTCATCAAACAAGAGTGAACACACAGTATAGTCAGAATTACAATGCAATATTCATGTTTTCGGTCAGTTATAAGTGAATTATTATCGCTGCATGGCTGTTCCTTTTCTTCTCATCGTGTTAGGTTTACAGTTCACAGATTGTTGATGGCAATTTGACTCCTTTTGATGACCACTGCATGCCTCGCCTCTTATCTAACTTGGAAAGGGTTGGTTATGACAGTGCGGGAACGGAACTCTTACCTGCCAGGCAATACGCCCCTGTCCCGACCAGAAAGTGAGCCCAGTTAAAGAGGGGGTCTTCGTTCCGAGGAAGGTCCAGGTCGGACATATGCCATCACCGGCTGTTGAGGCAAAACTACTTATGGTAATGTTGAAATTAAAATCATCTTGAGTATGAGGTTTACATAATTATATGATATATATTTTGAAGAGAGGTGTATCTGAACGGCAGCTGCTGATTGGCTAACTGAATATGTCTTGAAATTAATGCATTTAATCAAATTAACAGAGAAACATAGTTGAATTTTAATAATGTTTATAATGACCAGTGCTGTAACGATAATTGCTAATATTGGGTGTGATCTTTAATAATCTTCCCCATTAAATTAGTAATGTACAGCAGCATCACGTTTTCTCAATATTAAGAATTTAGCAACGTTCTTAAAATAATGATCTATAGGATATTTCTGATTGTGGAATGGCGTCATACGTACTTCCGTTTATCTGACAGTTGGATGCTTGCGTGCCGGCTGTGTCGGGTTGGCGAGTTTGGGTGGGTTTAGTGGGGTGAGGGTGGAATGGGGTGGGTGTTTGGTTGGTTGATGATGGAGTGGGGTGGATGTTTGGGTGGTGTTGTGTTGGTGTTGGTTGGGTGAGAGGCTGTATACTTTGTTGCTACAATTTGTTGCTGTGGAAACGCGTTTGAACACTGAAATCCTTCCACATGTATGAATATATTGTTTCTGGTTTTACCAGTATGCCATGAATGAAATTTTGCTCGATGCTTATAAGACAAACGTTTATCATAACACAACATTAACCTAGACACCTACTATGGTGATTCTTGTCCAGAGAGTATGTGTGTACAACCAAGAAGTGTACAGCCAGGAAGCGTACAGCAAGGGGGGCAGTGCTGCAGGTGCTTGACTCTTCACAGTACACTATCACGCTACAAATCTCAGGTAAATACCATGGTCAGGGTTTGGACAACGCCATGAATTTACATTCTGGTACTGTCAGTCGTGTGCTAACTTGCGTGGCAGGCTATGTTGAACACAATAATAGTTACACGACTACCTCTATTTATCAGAGGGGCGGTGGGGTAGCCTATTGGTTAAAGCGTTGGCTCGTCACGACGAAGACCCGGGTTCGATTCCCCACATGGGCATAATGTGTGAAACCCATTTCTGGTGTCCCCCGCCGGGATATTGCTGGAATATTGCTAAAAGCGGCGTAAAACTAAACTCAGTCAGTCAGTCTATTTATCAGATCTACTCACGCCAGGTTTGATGGATCCGGTAGCAGACTAAACACAAAGCACACATACTGTTCAGGTTTGTCTTCATTTTGTGTAACTGTGACTATTATGACTCAAGGTGTGCTTCTTGATAACCCAATGACAACCCGTCTGTTAAAGCCTGTCTGATAACCCGCAGTTGAGCTGTCTGTTAAAGCCTGTCTGATAAACCACAGTTGAGCTGTCTGTTAAAGCCTGTCTGATAACCCATAGATGAGCTGTCTGTTAACGTCTGTGAGGGGCGGTGGGGTAGCCTAGTGGTTAAAGCGTTGGCTCGTCACGCCGAAGACCCGGGTTCGATTCCCCACATGGGCACAATGTGTTAAGCCCATTTCTGGTGTCCCCCGCCGTGATGTTGCTGGAATATTGCTAAAAGCGGCGTAAAACTAAACTCAGTCAGTCAGTTAACGTCTGTCTGATAACCCACTGAAGACCTGTCTGTTAAAGTCTGTGTGATAACCCACAGATGAGCTGTCTGTTAAAGCCTGTCTGATAACGTATTCTGTTATTCTCTGGATAACCCGTTAAGGGTGTGCCTGATACTGTCTGTTGGATAGCCCACTATTTAGCTGCCTCTTAAAGCCTGTTTGATAATCCACTGAGAGATAACCGCCGGTTTGTACCTCTACAGTATCCCTGTGCTGAGTACACTCAGGGCGACGATATATACTGACGTGTAGGGAGATATTAGTGGTAAACACAATCTTACGTTAATGATGACCAACGCTGTAATGATGATTCCTAATATCGGGTGTGATTTTTTATAATCTTCCCCATTAATCTGCAACAGAAAAAAAGCAATCGAATCATACATGATACACAGTTAGCTTGGGTTTGATTGAGAATGTGAAGGCATCAGGCCTCATTGTTAAAGAGGTACGTTTGTTATTTACAGACATACACCAGGCCTCATTGTTAAAGAGGTACGTTTGTTATTTATACACATACACCAGGCCTCATTGTTAAAGAGGTACGTTTGTTATTTACAGACATACACCAGGCCTCATTGTTAAAGAGGTACGTTTGTTATTTACAGACATACACCAGGCCTCATTGTTAAAGAGGTACGTTTGTTATTTACAGACATACACCAGGCCTCATTGTTAAAGAGGTATGTTTGTTAATTACAGACATACACCAGGCCTCATTGTTAAAGAGGTACGTTTGTTATTTACAGACATAAACCAGGCCTTATTGTTAAATTGTTAAAGAGGTACGTGTGTTATTTACAGACATACACCAGGCCTCATTGTTAAAGAGGTACGTTTGTTATTTACAGACATACACCAGGCCTCATTGTTAGAGAGGTACGTTTGTTATTTACAGACATACACCAGGCCTCATTGTTAAAGAGGTGCGTTTGTTATTTACAGACATACACCAGGCCTCATTGTTAGAGAGGTACGTTTGTTATTTACAGACATACACCAGGCCTCATTGTTAAAAAGGTGCGTTTGTTATTTACATACATACACCAGGCCTCATTGTTAAAGAGGTAAGTTTGTTATTTACAGACATACACCAGGCCTCATTGTTGAAAAGGTACGTTTGTTATTTACAGACATACACCACGCCTCATTGTTAGAGAGGTACGTTTGTTATTTACAGACATACACCACGCCTCATTGTTAAAGAAGTACGTTTGTTATTTACAGACATACACCGGGCCTCATTGTTAGAGAGGTACGTTCGTTATTTACAGACATAAACCAGGCCTCATTGTTAAAGAGGTACGTTTGTTATTTACAGACATACACCAGGCCTCATTGTTAAAAAGGTACGTTTGTTATTTACAGACATACACCAGGCCTCATTGTTAAAGAGGAACGTTTGCTCTTTACAGACATACACCAGGCCTCATTGTTAAAGAGGTACGTTTGTTATTTACAGACATACACCAGGCGTCATTGTTAAAGAGGTACGTTTGTTATTTACAGACATACACCAGGCCTCATTGTTAAAGAGGTACGTTTGTTATTTACAGACATACACCAGGCCTCATTGTTAAAGAGGTACGTTCGTTATTTACAGACATACACCAGGCCTCATTGTTAGAGAGGTACGTTTGTTATTTACAGACATACACCAGGCCTCATTGTTAGAGAGGTACGTTTGTTATTTACAGACATACACCGGGCCTCATTGTTAAAGAGGTACGTTTGTTATTTACACACATACACCAGGCCTCATTGTTAAAGAGGTACGTTTGTTATTTACAGACATACACCAGGCCTCATTGTTAAAGAGGTACGTTTGTTATTTACAGACATACACCGGGCCTCATTGTTAAAGAGGTACGTTTGTTATTTACACACATACACCAGGCCTCATTGTTAAAGAGGTACGTTTGTTATTTACAGACATACACCAGGCCTCATTGTTAAAGAGGTACGTTTGTTATTTACACACATACACCAGGCCTCATTGTTAAAGAGGTACGTTTGTTATTTACAGACATACACCAGGCCTCATTGTTAAAGAGGTATGTTTGTTAATTACAGACATACACCAGGCCTCATTGTTAAAGAGGTACGTTTGTTATTTACAGACATAAACCAGGCCTTATTGTTAAATTGTTAAAGAGGTACGTGTGTTATTTACAGACATACACCAGGCCTCATTGTTAAAGAGGTACGTTTGTTATTTACAGACATACACCAGGCCTCATTGTTAAAGAGGTATGTTTGTTAATTACAGACATACACCAGGCCTCATTGTTAAAGAGGTACGTTTGTTATTTACAGACATAAACCAGGCCTTATTGTTAAATTGTTAAAGAGGTACGTGTGTTATTTACAGACATACACCAGGCCTCATTGTTAGAGAGGTACGTTTGTTATTTACAGACATACACCAGGCCTCATTGTTAAAGAGGTGCGTTTGTTATTTACAGACATACACCAGGCCTCATTGTTAAAGAGGTACGTTTGTTATTTACAGACATACACCAGGCCTCATTGTTAAAGAGGTACGTTTGTTATTTACAGACATACACCAGGCCTCATTGTTAAAGAGGTACGTTTGTTATTTACAGACATAAACCAGGTAGCTGCTTTTCCGTATCATGTGTTGTTGTGAAACACTTTACCTTTGCATGAGTTTCTGTTAAATGGTAGGGAATGGCGATTCTGATGGGGCAGGTTTGGGTCATGGCTTGGAAGTCTTGATGATCTTGTTTCTAGATTTTTAGGTTTAGGTGGGCAGGGTAGCCTTTGAGTGAAGAGAAGTCTTCTTTCAGATGGTCCAATTCGCTGCCGAAGGTATCGAGACGGCAAATCGCTTTGTCACGTCGCGTAATGAGGCAGGCGATAGCCATTTGCTTTGTAGTTTTCTTCGCCACTTTCTATTACTCATAGATGAAGTGACCCATCTAATACTTATAGATCCATTAACTTCTCTTTTACCTGGGGATCTAGTTACCTGGCTATTATTTATAGTTCCAGTCCCCTGTCTATGACTAAAATATCTAGTAACCTGTGTATTACTTACAGATCTAGTAGCCTCTATATTACTTATGGATGTAGCCTCTAGTAGCCTCTATATTACTTAGGGATGTATTGACCTCTCTTTTACTTAGGAATCTAGTAACTACTCTATTACTTGAAGATCTACTTACCTGTCTATTACTGAGAGATCTAGTAACCTCTATACTACTATCTACATAACCTGTTTATTACTTATACCTAGTAACCTGTCTATTTCTTTGGGAGCTAGTAACTTGTCTTTTATGTTCAGATCTAGTAACCGCTCTATTATTTACAGACATAGTATCCGCTCTATTACTTACAGATCTAGTATCTGCTCTATTATTTACAGATCTAATAGACGCTGTTTTAGTTACAGATATAGTATCCGCTCTATTACTTACAGACATACTAGTAGCCGCTCCATTACTTACAGATCGAGTATCTGCTCTTTTAGTTACAGATATAGTATCCGCTCTATTACTTACAGACATACTAGTAGCCGCTCCATTACTTACAGATCTAGTAACCGCTCTATTATTTACAGACATAGTATCCGCTCTATTACTTACAGACATAGTATCCGCTCTATTACTTACAGACATACTAGTAGCCGCTCCATTACTTACAGATCTAGTAACCGCTCTATTATTTACAGACATAGTATCCGCTCTATTACTTACAGATCTAGTAACCGCTCTATTATTTACAGACATAGTATCCGCTCTATTACTTACAGACATACTAGTAGCCGCTCCATTACTTACAGATCGAGTATCTGCTCTTTTAGTTACAGATATAGTATCCGCTCTATTACTTACAGACATACTAGTAGCCGCTCCATTACTTACAGATCGAGTATCTGCTCTTTTAGTTACAGATATAGTATCCGCTCTATTACTTACAGACATACTAGTAGCCAGCCTATCCATTACTTACAGATCTAGTAACCGCTCTATTATTTACAGACATAGTATCCGCTCCATTACTTACAGATCTAGTATCCGCTCTATTACTTACAGACATACTAGTAGCCGCTCCATTACTTACAGATCTAGTAACCGCTCTATTATTTACAGACATAGTATCCGCTCTATTACTTACAGATCTAGTAACCGCTCTATTATTTACAGACATAGTATCCGCTCTATTACTTACAGATCTAGTATCCGCTCTATTACTTACAAATATAGTATCCGCTCTATTACTTACAGACATACTAGTAGCCGTTCCATTACTTTCAGATCTACTAGTAGCCGCTCCATTACTTATATATATCTAGTAAATTGTCTATTACTTATGGATCTAGTTACCTGTGTATGACTTAAACGAGCATATCTAGTAAATTGTCTATAATTTATGGATCTAGTAACCTGTCTATTACTCATGGATCAAGTAACCTGTCTATTACTTATTGATTTAAAAATTAACACTTCTAGTAACCTGTCTATTACTTATTGATTTAATAACTAAAACCTCTGGTAACCTGTCTATTACTTATTGATTTAATAACTAAAACCTCTGGTAACCTGTCTATTACTTATTGATTTAATAACTAAAACCTCTAGTAACCTGTCTATTACTTATTGATTTAATAACTAAAACCTCTTGTAACCTGTCTATTACTTATTGATTTAATAACTAAAACCTCTTGTAACCTGTCTATTACTTATTGATTTAATAACTAAAACCTCTTGTAACCTGTCTATTACTTATTGATTTAATAACTAAAACCTCGAGTAACCTGTCTATTACTTATTGATTTAATAACTAAAATCTCTAGTAACCTGTCTATTACTTATTGATTTAAAATTAACACCTCTAGTAACCTGTCTATTACTTATTGATTTAATAACTAAAACCTCTGGTAACCTGTCTATTACTTATTGATTTAATAACTAAAACCTCTGGTAACCTGTCTATTACTTATTGATTTAATAACTAAAACCTCTAGTAACCTGTCTATTACTTATTGATTTAATAACTAAAACCTCTTGTAACCTGTCTATTACTTATTGATTTAATAACTAAAACCTCTTGTAACCTGTCTATTACTTATTGATTTAATAACTAAAACCTCTTGTAACCTGTCTATTACTTATTGATTTAATAACTAAAACCTCGAGTAACCTGTCTATTACTTATTGATTTAATAACTAAAATCTCTAGTAACCTGTCTATTACTTATTGATTTAAAAATTAACACCTCTAGTAACCTGTCTATTACTTATTGATTTAATAACTAAAACCTCTGGTAACCTGTCTATTACTTATTGATTTAATAACTAAAACCTCTAGTAACCTGTCTATTACTTATTGATTTAATAACTAAAACCTCTAGTAACCTGTCTATTACTTATTGATTTAATAACTAAAACCTCTTGTAACCTGTCTATTACTTATTGATTTAATAACTAAAACCTCTTGTAACCTGTCTATTACTTATTGATTTAATAACTAAAACCTCTTGTTACCTGTCTATTACTTATTGATTTAATAACTAAAACCTCTAGTAACCTGTCTATTACTTATTGATTTAATAACTAAAATATCTAGTAACCTGTCTATTACTTATTGATTTAATAACTTGTCTAAAACCTCTAGTAGCCTGTCGATTACGTACAGATCTTGTCCCATGTCCATTACTTAGATTCAGTAGCCATGTGCCACTTATTATCTAATTATGTGCCACGTGTTATTCCATTGTATACCTGTTGTGTGGATAACGGGATTAGCAATGCCCCTAGTGGGACATGCCTGCTTTACTAGAAAGGGAGACAACCTTACGTGGCTGTAACCTTGTGCCTCTATGAAGATGATGATAAACGCAGCAATTGTTGCAACAAATGTCAGCCCCATACACATGCGATGTATCTGAAAAGAGACACCCGAAAGATATGGGTAGTACCAATGGTACAGCCACACGATTATACGGTCAGATTAAACAAATGTAGTCAGTGTAGGGAATCTCTAAAGATATTTTAGTCGACGCCAAACTCAATAATGTCAGGGCACGTCTGTTATCTATAAATCTAATTTTCTCAAAACAAATCAGTCGGATCATCCATTCATTACAGAATATAATTTTAGAGTTTGCAATTTCTGTTTGTTTCTCAATATGCAATACGTTATTTGTTCAAACCGACCCAACTCAAGGACCATTCAGGCTACAGTCATAATCCATGCATGGTATTAAACATGAGTATAAACCCAGATTGTGCCAGCATTCTCTCCGTACATTATCCCTACCTAGAACGAGACCTCAGCTGAGTATTACTGTACAAATATCATCCCTACCAGTATATCACTCACAGTATATCACACACAGTATATCACACACAATACATCAGAATCAGTATATCAAACACAGTATATCACACATATCGGTATATCCCACACATTACATCTCATACAGTATATTTCACACAGTACATCAAATACAGTATACCACACAGTACACACATGCAGTATAGCACACACAGTGTATAATACACAGTATGTCACACACAGTACATCACACGCAGTATATCTCACACAGTATGTCACACAGTACATTACACAATATGTCACACACTGGATGTCTCACACAGTAATCAAACACAGTATATGACACAGTATATCTCACACAGTACATCACACACAGTATATTACACAGAACATCACACTCATGATATTACACACAGTACATCACACACAGTACATCACACACAGTATATCACATATACGCGTGTATCACCCTTACCTGGAACCATACTTTCAGGCCCCGGATGTCCTTGTCTGGCCACATGGGTTTGAAGTACCTGGCTATGACAAGTCCTATACTGGCAAACATGAGCCATGCTATTGACATTAGACAACCTGAAACACATTAGAGGTCACTGAAACCAATAGCTGAGGATTTTGTTTCCACCAAGTCATATGCTTTTGAACCCTATATTGCCGCCCTGTTGTCCCGATAGCCAGAACCCGGCTGTCGGCCTGCTTGGAGCAACGGCAGACAGTAAACACTACTGAAATATGCATTCTGTTATCTTAAGTCAGGCTGTAAAGGCAAAACAAAACAAAAAACATAACCACGAAATGTAAACATTGCCCTCCACATATTTGTCTGTATGACCAGGGATAATCCACATATATAGTCTCCCTGGTATGACAAAAGGGATTATTTCAACTTTCCGACATTCAACTTTCCCATCATGTTGAGCAATATTCCAACAGTTGAAGGCTTTGGTGTTTACATTGCACAGCGTTTGAGGTACAATCGAGCATGTTTATTTCTACCAAAATTTCAAGGAGCGCCATATGATTATTGATCAGAAGTTGTTCGATCAAGGTTACAGCGTTATAGGCCTGAGCTTTCAAAACTGTCACGGTTGACATGTGGAGGACATTTTAACATTTGACGCATCAGTGACAAAAGTTATGTGTGATGCAATTCCCTATTGTGTCTTGTATCATACGTTCCCGACGTTTTCAGTAAACAACTGCAAATGTTTATGACACAGTGCCACCGGTGGGGCAGGATACGCTCACCTTTTAGCAAACTACTTGTATCATCTCTATTTTAACAATGATCCAGTGCCACCGATGGGGCAGGATACGCTCACCTTTTAGCGAATTACTTGTATCATCTCTATTTTAACAATGATCCATAAACACATGCTAATGATATAGCCGGAATTGTACATCGACTCTGTCCCTAACAGATATTTCTTATGGATGTGGAAAGATCACAATGTAAACAACCTGCATCTATCTACGTATCAAGTGGGCACCATGGACTTGAACCAGGGAGTGTTTCGTTCTTACCATGGACTTGAACCAGAGAGTGTTTCGTTCTTACCATGGACTTGAACCAGAGAGTGTTTCGTTCTTACCATGGACTTGAACCAGAGAGTGTTTCGTTCTTACCATGAACTTGAACTAGAGAGTGTAGTGTTTCGTTATTACCATGAACTTGAACCAGAGAGTGCCGTGTTTCGTTCTTACCATGAACTTGAACCAGAGAGTGCAGTGTTTCGTTCTTACCATGGACTTGAACTAGAGAGTGTTTCGTTCTTACCATGAACTTGAACTAGAGAGTGCCGTGTTTCGTTCTTACCACGGACTTGAACCAGAGAGTGCAGTGTTTCGTTCTTACCATGGACTTGAACCAGAGAGTGTTTCGTTCTTACCATGAACTTGAACTAGAGAGTGTAGTGTTTCGTTCTTTCCATGAACTTGAACCAGAGAGTGCCGTGTTTCGTTCTTACCATGAACTTGAACCAGAGAGTGTTTCGTTCTTACCATGGACTTGAACCAGAGAGTGTTTCGTTCTTACCATGGACTTGAACCAGAGAGTGTTTCGTTCTTACCATGGACTTGAACCAGAGAGTGTAGTGTGTCGTTCTTACCATGGACTTGAACCAGAGAGTGTAGTGTTTCGTTCTTACCATGAACCTGAACCAGAGAGGGTAGTATTTTGTTCTTACCATGGACTTGAACCAGAGAGTGTAGTGTTTCGTTCTTACCATGAACTTGAACCAGAGAGTGTAGTGTTTCGTTCTTACCATGGACTTGAACCAGAGAGTGTAGTGTTTCGTTCTTACCATGGACCTGAACCAGAGAGTGTAGTGTGTCGTTCTTACCATGGACTTGAACCAGAGAGTGTAGTGTGTCGTTCTTACCATGGACTTGAACCAGAGAGTGTAGTGTGTCGTTCTTACCATGGACTTGAACCAGAGAGTGTAGTGTTTCGTTCTTACCATGAACTTGAACCAGAGAGTGTAGTGTGTCGTTCTTACCATGGACTTCAACCAGAGAGTGTAGTGTTACGTTCTTACCATGAACTTGAACCAGAGAGTGTAGTATTTCGTTCTTACCATGGACTTGAACCAGAGAGTGTAGTGTTTCGTTCTTACCATGAACTTGAACCAGAGAGTGTAGTGTTTAGTTCTTACCATGAACTTGAACCAGAGAGTGTAGTGTTTCGTTCTTACCATGGACTTTAACCAAGGAGTGTAGTGTTTCGTTCTTACCATGAACTTGAACCAGAGAGTGCAGTGTTTCGTTCTTACCATGGACTTTAACCAAGGAGTGTAGTGTTTCGTTCTTACCATGAACTTGAACCAGAGAGTGTAGTGTTTCGTTCTTACCATGGACTTGAACCAGAGGGTGTAGTGTTTCGTTCTTACCATGGACTTGAACCAGAGAGTGCAGTGTTTCGTTCTTACCATGGACTTGAACCAGAGAGCGCAGTGTTTCGTTCTTACCATGGACATGAACGAGAGAGTAGTGTGTGTCGTTCTTACCATGAACTTGAACCAGAGAGTGCAGTGTTTCGTTCTTACCATGAACTTGAACCAGAGTGTGTAGTGTTTCGTTCTTACCATGAACTTGAACCAGAGAGTGTAGTGTTTCGTTCTTACCATGAACTTGAACCAGAGAGTGTAGTGTTTCGTTCTTACCATGGACTTGAACCAGAGTGTAGTGTTTCGTTCTTACCATAAACTGGAACCAGAGAGCGTAGTTTTTCGTTCTTACCATGGACTTGATCCAGAGAGTGTAGTGTTTCGTTCTTACCATAAACTGGAACCAGAGAGTGTAGTATTTCGTTCTTACCATGGACTTGAACCAGTGGGTATATCAGTTGTGTAGTACCGGCGCTGTCGGTCGCCTGGAGGTCAACCAGCGATGACGTCACTGCCGGCGTGGGAACATGGGGCTTTTTTCTGAAACCTTATTTGTTCTTACGAAATATTATTTGTAAGCAGGAATTCTTAACGGACTTATTCCGTTGAAATATTTGAAAAAGAAATGATGACAAGATATCACGTGGCTATGAAGTGATCATACGACGTACACTATCATGTCCCCACTTAAATGACACGGAAGATTGGACTGGACATAGCAGTTAAGAATATTCACCAATATTTGATATGGTTCTTGTTTCCGTTCCTAATGTTGAATAATCATATCACTCCTCACTACACATGTCATTCCACGATGTACGTGGCGGTAGAAGGCGCATTGTGATGAAATGAAAGGCTTATTACCGACTGTAGCTTTGCCCCGAGCAAACATGAGATGCCAGTCCTGCGTTAGATTGAACAGCTTCACATCACCGTAGCCATCAGTCTGTCTCAAAAAGCTGCAGTCGAAAATGCCGTCGTTGACTGAGCCCCTGGGGTCGCTTAGTCCCAGTTTTGGCTGAGTTACATAAGAAACATTACACCTAAGGATATAATTATATATAATATTTCCATAAATCTAGAACTGCAGAGATAAGTCAGCCTTGACTATCCGCTTACAACATCCCATGGGGGTATATGCAAAATATTGGAGGAAATTATATGAGTGAGTGAGTGAGCTTAGTTTTACGCCGCACTCTGCAATATTCCAGCTATATGGCGGCGTTCTGTAAATAATCGAGTCTGGACCAGACATTCCAGTGATCAACAGCATGAGCATCGATCTGCGCAATTGGGAACCGATCACATGTGTCAACCAAGTCAGCGAGCCTGACCACACGATCTCGTTAGTCGCCTCGTACGACAAGCATAGTCGCCTTTTGTGGCAAGCATGGGTTGCTGAAGACCTATTCCACCCCGGATCTTCACGGGTCAGGAAAATATATGATGAATCACTGAATATCTGATGATGATCATCATCCACTTAAACAAACTTCATCGCTGAAGATTACTTTCTCTGATTCTACTTTAGTTGAGATTGGCCATTCTAGAGTGAAACACTAAATGACTTTACCTCTCCTACAAGTCGGCGCCCTGATATTGCTGGAATATTGCTAAAAGCGGCGTAAAACTAAACTCACTCACTCACTCTCCTACAACATGTGGTGACATATATTAAACATACTTGAGCCAGCCGTTGGTTGACTATTCCTGTGTTGTACGACTCGAACACCCCGACATCGCCACCATACACGACACATTCACTGACGCTGTCATCGCCCTGAAATATTGGTGAAATCTAAGCATAAACAAGGATTAGTGAGTGTTGTTTCTTGTCGCATCCCATGCTGTGTCGTGTTGCAGAATGTTACACCTAGGTCAGGCAAACCGCAGGTTGACTGCGTCAACACATACCTGCCATCGCAGTACCATAATTGTAAACTAACATACTGTACCATGCATGTCCGATAGTGTGCTCGTCTTATTGGGCGGGACCCTGATCTAACCCTTATCTACCTTTAAACCTCTGTGTTTGGCACCCGTGGGGGTGGTGCAAGTTTATTAAATGATCATTGAAACCCTCATGAAAACGGGTGAAAATGAACTCCCCCACCTATTTAAACTGTAGCGATACCCATCTAATAATGCTTGTTTTTCACCCCTCTGTGATAATACATATTCGACCTTTCTTAAAAATGCCATGTCGAAAATGTGCTTTGAAATGCAATATACATCTTAAATAGACTACAAACTAATATAAGTAAGCGAGAAACTGACAGTCCTTGTAATTGTTTAAATAGACAACGCAAAACACATTCACAAAATCAATTGTATTACTCAGAAATCAATGCTTATGCTCATTGTCTATATCAAGCCCCAAGTTTCTTCAGAAATGGGCCAAGCTCGTTTGTTAATTGGGTCAATTTGTGAGTAGGGTAGAACGAAAGCAAAGTGTAGGGTACTGAGAAAACATGCATTGATTAAGGGTAGGTGAACTGGGGGTGTAGGTGAAACGAGAGTGTAGGGGTTATGGGTGTGAACCGAATTTTCTGATGTTGAAATCCGTAAATAAACACACAGCAGCCGCGATGTTAATCTAAGGTTATCGTCTCTTTGCTGGGAGGCACGCATCGCTTAACCTTGTGATCAACCTGACATATCCTGAATGAGTCACGTGAGGCATATACAGACACTTCATATTACACTGAAAACGTCGACAGTGACTGCCTGCAGATGTAATAGGGCTGATGCTAACATTTGCTGGTATAGTTATGACACATTTGGAGATGTAATACTATGTTTATACCACATATTTAAGAAACTTTCCCTTGCAAAAAATGTCATAATATTAACATAAGAAAATATAATCAAACGCAAATTGCCCCATGGTTATTGCCAACAACAAGGGCTCGATTCTGACCAACATCAGCGCTCAAACGCACCTCTTAACAACTTTGCATCGAAAACAGCAAAATGCACGTGTGTTGCAAGTAAGGGCAAAATGCACGTGCATGCATGGTATAAAACCACCTCACAGCACAGAGCAGATCGTACTTCAGCAGAAAACCACTTTACAATGCCGAGGTTAACTTCAGCAGAGCGAGAGAGGGCCATCGGAATGCTGCAGATGGGCGCTACAACGGGTCACGTTGCAAGAACCTTCAATTGCTCCGTCGTGACCGTCTGGAACCTTCGTCGGCGTTAGCAACAGACTGGTCAGGCCTCAGACAGGCCCCAGACAGGCAGACCCCGGGTGACAACTGCGCAGGAAGACCGCCACCTGAGGACGTTACACCTTAGAAACCACTTCCTGACGGTAACGTCATCAGCGTCAACAACACTCGGTCACCCAGTGAGTCGAAGGATAGTGTCAAGGAGACTAAGGGCCTATGGTATCAGGGCTTACCGACCGCACCGAGGAACGCTGCTGACAGACAGACATGGTCGCTCGAGTTGTACAGAACTTCTCTCACGCCAACAACGTCAACGTCCTGCCATGACCTGCACGCTCTCCTGACATGTCGCCAATCGAGCACGTATGGGACCACCTTGATAGAGTTATTCAACGGAGACAGAATTCAATAGTTACAGTACAGCAAATGACTCAAGCCCTTGTCGAAGGATGGAGGCGAATCCCAGCTGACGTCATCAGACGCCTCATAACTTCAGTCAGAAGACGTGTGTTTGCATGTATTCTATCCAGAGGTGGACAAACTCGCTATAAGAGACTTCTGTTCACGCTTTGCTGTGTTTCCCGAATGGACCAACTGATCGTGAATTCTCTAGTTTGACCCCATGTCGACCATAACCTGTTCAATAAGTTATCAGACTTGTCAAAAATCGAACATTTGTACTTAGCACGTGCCTATGTCATTGCTTCACAAATTATAAATTTCAAACTTCGACTTCTTCTTCTTGTTTTTAAGTGAGATCAAATTGAACGAGGAGAAAGTTTCTTTTGCCCGTCAGTATAGTAGATATTCACTCACTATAGTAGGTTTATAACACTGTATACCGAAAATACTTTCAGTCTGTCTCAGTCATTTTTCGGTTTCTAAAGTATAATCAGAAGGCAAATGAATCTCCTGACATAGGCCTTTTATGAACCTGGCAGGTGACGACATTAGCTGGACATGCTGCTTTACAAGCACAGAAACCATTTCCACATTCATAAAGCCGAGTCCATTGTACAACTCCAACAGCATCAAGTGTTCATGAAGTTAGCGAGTGAGTTTAGGTTTACGCCGCACTCAGCAACATTCCAGCTATATGGAGGCAGTCTGTAAAAAATCGAGTCTGGACAAGACAATCCAGTGATCAACAGCATGAACTTGGGAACCGATGACATGAATCAACCGCGTCAGCGAGCCTGTGTTCATGAAGCACTCAAAACTAGTGAGAATACCAGGTATTTGGAGTGGATGTAGGCGTGGTATGCTTGGTATCTTCCCCAAAGGATAGCAGCTGTACACAAATATCAAACCTCTGGTATGGAAAGTGAATGTTCATCTACAACTGAGTCAAAAATTGGACTGAAATTAACTGATTTTGGAAGGCGAAGAGCCAAGGTCGGTGACTTATTCTCGTAGCGTTCTATCAAATTAACCCTAACATCAGCAGCATACAATGGGTAGTTTTAGCTTTGCGCCGCTTTTAGCAATATTCCAGCAATATCACGGCAGGGGACACCAGAAATGGGCTTCACACATTGTACCCATGTGGGGAATCGAACCCGCGTCTTCAGCTAGACGAGCGAACGCTTTAACCACTGGTCTACCCACATCGCCCCCAGCAACAAAGACTGTAGTAACGGATCAATAATAGGACGTGTCCTAGAGACAGTTCTGATTACTTGATTCACGATTTGCAATAATAGGAACATCATGTAACACATTTATTTACCATTTTCTTGTCTTTCGAGAATCCTATGGCCATCCACGAGTCTCCAGATGAAGGCGACCTAAGACGAAACCGGATGTTGCTGTTTTCTGGTACCCACGTGACTGAGAATGTGCATCCCTTGTCACAGTCGTCAAAACATCCCATCCGTACTCCACACTCGCGGTCACGTGATATACCCTGAAAAAAGAGCAATGTCATATTTCCGTGAAAAAACAGCGGCACTGTAAGACGTTACAACATCACATCAAACACAACATACCAGTTGAACCAAGGCAGCATCTAGTTGGTTTGGTTTGTTTATTTGCAAGGGGTACATGTAGGCCATCGGCCCATGGTACATATCTAGTTAGTTATGTTACTGCCCAAATATACGTGTGTAACTAATACCTCATTCACATACAAGCTGACACTCGTCAGTACGTGTACGTACGTGTACGTGTACTGCTTGTGTGCAAATGGGTCATATGCAACATTATTCCTGGAGACAATTAACACGACCTAGAGTGGTTATGCAAACATTAATGCATATTGATTAAGTATATTTACGTTGTGTCTATTTTGTGCCCCGAGAACACACAGTATTTTTGCAAAGTACAAGCTGATCAGAGGTCAAGATGGCAAACAGAAATTCAATAAATACAATTCAATCTCAGTCTGATGAATGGAATGAAGCTCTACTGGAGCATTTGGGGTGAGGAAAGAACGAAGATACACAGAGGATACCAATTGGACGATCCAACACGGAACAGGGGAGACCAATTGGACGATCCATCACGGAACAGAGGAGACCAATTGGACGATCCATCACGGAACAGAGGAGACCAATTGGACGATCCAACACGGAACAGAGGAGACCAATTGGACGATCCAACACGGAACAGAGGAGACCAATTCGACGATCCAAAAGGGAACAGGGGTGACCAATTGGACGATCCATCACGGAATACAGGAGACCAATTGGACGTTCCAACACGGAACAGGGGTGACCAATTGGACGATCCAACAAGGAACAGGGCTGACCAATTGGACGATCCATCACGGAACAGGGGTAACCAATTGGACGATCCAACAAGGAACAGGGCTGACCAATTGGACGATCCATCACGGAACAGGGGTAACCAATTGGACGATCTATCAGGAAACAGGGGTGACCAATTGGACGATCCAATACGGAACAGGGGTGACCAATTGGACGATCCAACACGGAACAGAGGAGACCAATTGGACAATCCAACACTGAACGGGGGTGACTAATTGGACGATCCATCACGGAATATAGGAGACCAATTGGACGATCCATCACGGAACAGGGGTGACCAATTGGACGATCCACTAGGAACGGATGAGACCAATTGGATGATCCAACAGGGAACAGGGGTGACCAATTGGACGATCCATCACGGAACGGAGGAGACCAATTGGACGATCCATCACGGAACAGGGGAGACCAATTGGACGATCCATCACGGAACAGAGGAGACCAATTGGACGATCCAACACAGAACAGAGGAGACCAATTGGACGATCCAACACGGAACAGAGGAGACCAATTCGACGATCCAAAAGAGAACAGGGGTGAACAATTGGACGATCCATCACGGAATACAGGAGACCAATTGGACGATCCAACACGGAACAAGGGAGACCAATTGGATGATCCAACAGGGAACAGGGGTGACCAATTGGACGATCCATCACGGAACAGAGGTGACCAATTGGACGATCCAACATGGAACAGGTGTGACCAATAGGACGATCCAACACGTAACAGAGGAGACCAATTTGACCATCCAACACGGAACAGGGGTGACCAATTGGACGATCCAACATGGAACAGGTGTGACCAATAGGACGATCCAACACGTAACAGAGGAGACCAATTTGACCATCCAACACGGAACAGGGGTGACCAATTGGACGATCCATCACGGAACAGGGGTGACCAACTGCACGATCAAACACGGAACAGAGGAGACCAATTGGACCATCCAATACGGAACAGGGGTGACCAATTGGACGATCCAACACGGAACAAAGGAGGCCAGTTTGACCATCCAACACGGAACACAGGAGTCTAAACATGGAAGAGTGGTTGAGTCCCATCCTGGATTCGAACCCGAACTCTCAGAATCAGGCACCTAATCGCCAGCACACAAAGTCACCCATCTAACTCACTCAGCCACTGCGGTTTCCACAAAAGTGGAAGTCGGGCAATTGGTAGTTTAGATCTAGAGTTTGTGTGGTGTAAATTGGCACGCCGCCCACTGAACAGGATATGGGTTTGCGTCATTCTGTCTGGCACAACATGTGGGGCTTTTGCTGTTTTGTGTGATTATTTGTTTTCTATTGAGATAAGCATATATAGGTGAACAACACCCCGATACACAAATGTATTGTAGCATTACGACTCTCATAAGCGTATGTTAAAGTATCGATCGATTGACATGTCCACCCGAAGAAGGAGTGAAAATTTATCTCAAAGCGCTGTGTTTAACAAACAGAAAGGTCTTGATTTTCAAAATGTCTTTGAGTTATGGAAGACCTAGAAGCCAGAGAAGATAAACACTCACAATAAAGGAAGTTAAAACTGGGAGAAAGGGAAGAGCCTGCCTTGTGTGAAATATTTGACATGACGACTTACCGAAGGTGCTGATGTATGCACTACTGGTGATGTAACCACCGACTGAGATGACACCGAAGATGTGGACTGTGTTGAATCAGCAGGTGTTGATCCATCAGAAGTACTACAGGGCGCTATCATTGGGGACTCAAGCGACGTCTCTGGAACGCTGAGAGGGGCAGCCGTGGGGTCCATCAGTACTGCGGAGTTGATCCGGACCCAGAACGTCTTGTAGTCCTTCACGAAGCTTGCCCTGAAACGGTAATACTGACGTAGTTGAATGTAGCATAATGGTATGTTCGTGTCATTGTCACTGAGTATGACACTGAGGTTGGAGGGAAGTGGCGCTGGCGGTGGGTGTATAATACCTTCGTGAAACCACCGAGCAGGGGTAGCGGTATTGTGAAGCAAATGATCTTCGTGACCATGGGTTTTTGGCATTGGAGCTAATGATAAGAGAATCCAGGCATGGGTGCGTTTCGCACCTCCACAAAGCAGAGTGCAGCAATATCTCAAATGTACTTGTTTCACTACGCGTCTGGGCTTGTCAGACCAGTGCTTGGCAGCACGAGCAAGACTGCACGTGGTCCGGGTACTATTGTAAAGTCATCCACACATTGAATGTACCCGGTTCTTACTTTTGCAATACCCTAGAGTTTCATAGATGTGTTCGCATTAAATCTAACATGACATACAAGAACCAATCTGAGTATTAATCCAAGATACTGAAGCTACGGTAATAGGGTCTGAATGAGCCGGAAAGGGTTTCCACTAATGACAACGCACTTGAATATGACATGTCCCGCGGCTTTTGATGGCGCCCTCCATGTTGCCTTGACAATGGACTTGGGACTCTTCTCAGTTTGTGTTAGCCCTCTCGGTACCTGCCAAATAACGTATATTTAACGATCATTTGAGAGTAAAAGAAGTGATGCTTTTATGTCGGCAGATGTGGAGAATGACACAAATCATTACACGCGTGATCAAGCAAACCTGTCAACTGTCTTCACATTCTTACACATCATTCTGAGATTCTGAATCTGTACTGAAACGTCGCATCATTATACAAACAAGACCTTGTCACCCATAAAGTTTCATACATTTCTTATTATTCATCAAACACAGGATTACCAATCAAACACAGGTAATTTATGTATTAATAATATTCATATGAAAAAACTTCACAGTTTAGATGAGACCACGTGGCGAGAGATGGTCTATATAGCCTACGGGACTTTGACCCCAGAGTACCACAAACATGGAAGTCCGACAACTGGTAGGGTGTGTCACGCACAGTGTACCCTTCTTACAAGTGACAGCAGGCCCGGCTCCCAACTGGTAGGGTAGGTCGCGCACAGTGTACCCTTCTAACAAGTGACAGCAGGCCCGGCTCCCAACTGGTAGGGTAGGTCGCGCACAGTGTACCCTTCTAACAAGTGACAGCAGGCCCGGCTCCCAACTGGTAGGGTGGTCACGCACAGTGTACCCTTCTAACAAGTGACATCAGGCCCGGCTCCCAACTGGTAGGGTAGGTCGCGCACAGTGTACCCTTCTAACAAGTGACATCAGGCCCGGCTCCCAACTGGTAGGGCTGGTCACGCACAGTGTACCCTTCTAACAAGTGACAGCAGGCCCGGCTCCCAACTGGTAGGGCTGGTCACGCACAGTGTACCCTTCTAACAAGTGACAGCAGGCCCGGCTCCCAACTGGTAGGGTAGGTCGCGCACAGTGTACCCTTCTTCTAACAAGTGACAGCAGGCCCGGCTCCCAACTGGTAGGGCTGGTCACGCACAGTGTACCCTTCTAACAAGTGACAGCAGGCCCGGCTCCCAACTGGTAGGGTAGGTCGCGCACAGTGTACCCTTCTAACAAGTGACAGCAGGCCCGGCTCCCAACTGGTAGGGTAGGTCGCGCACAGTGTACCCTTCTAACAAGTGACAGCAGGCCCGGCTCCCAACTGGTAGGGTAGGTCGCGCACAGTGTGACAAGGCCCGGCTCCCAACTGGTAGGGTAGGTCGCACAGTGTACCCTTCTAACAAGTGACAGCAGGCCCGGCTCCCAACTGGTAGGGTAGGTCACGCACAGTGTACCCTTCTAACAAGTGACAGCAGGCCCGGCTCCCAACTGGTAGGGCTGGTCACGCACAGTGTACCCTTCTAACAAGTGACAGCAGGCCCGGCTCCCAACTGGCAGGGCTGGTCACGCACAATGTACCCTTCTAACAAGTGACAGCAGGCCCGGCTCCCAACTGGTAGGGTAGGTCGCGCACAGTGTACCCTTCTAACAAGTGACAGCAGGCCCGGCTCCCAACTGGTAGGGTAGATCACGCACAGTGTACCCTTCTAACAAGTGACAGCAGGCCCGGCTCCCATGTCCGAAAGATACACACTGCCATTGCGGCTGAGTGGGCTGGTTCAGAGCAATCACGGTTGGGACTCAACCCAAAATAGTACCAGTAGAATCTCTATTGAGAAAGTTTGAAAGCTTTTAACTTGTATCGTGTATTCATTACTATGAAACTGGTAAAAAAAGAAAACAATTTCGATTTCTCATCTACTGGAATTTTTAACATGCATGACATGTTAAAGAACTGATTTGTGATTTCTGTCTCCTATATCTCTGGTATTCATATTTCAGTTATTTTTTTATATTTACAAAATTATTTCTAAAATGCCAAGGAAATAAACATGCTTCAGTTGAGACGCTACTACTCAGGTCATGTACTTGGGATTACAACAAAACATGTACTGAAAAGGATTGTTTTTGAAAATGATTATGTAAGAACTGAAACAATAGGCCAATCAGGCGAATACTATTTGTTTAGCATGCATCTGTGACGTTGTCACCTAGGTAACAGGATGCGTTCACCTATTCGAGAACTGTTTGATAGTGATTCATCAACACATGTTTCCGAATTTTTCGGAAGTTTGGATTTGCTATTAGCAGAACTATCTTGTGAGTAAGCAGATATTTTGTTTCTATTAATTACATCTTTATATTGTCAGTTATTGGTTTTGTTGACATAATGTTATTATCATTCAACAGGAATAACTATGTGTAAAAGGCTGACATGCTGCAATTCGTTGATACACCAGGAAAGATACAGATGCTGTAACGTGGGAGCGTATTCCCTACCAGGTCCTCCAGGTGACCACTTCATCATCATATGGCATATGCCGGTTCTCTTGGAAGGATTAAACTTACTCACTCACCCCGTCTCCGTTTTCGCACACAGGTGATGTTGTTGCTGTTTGGATAAAGCTGCCGATGTACACGGAGGTGTTGTAGACAGGGTCGGCTCTGCGTGCCTGCAGCAGAAACCCCTCGAACTGCTCCCCACACCGCCCCTCAAGTGTCACTGTTGAGAGTAGTGAACGTGTGAGTTTAAGAACTGTCCCTTCAAGCAGCTCCACCAGCACCGTTAATTTAATGGTTAATAAAGCCCCGACACGGGTTGAAGCCGTTTAGCATGAAACTCTTGTCTCAATCATTATCAGATCCTTTACCTCAAAGCCAGGGGATCCTCGTTTGGCTAACGTAGGCAAAGCTGCCGCATCTTGAGACAAGGGTAATGGTATGTACACCTCGACATAATGAGATAATGAATGATGACTTTTCAATATCAACTTCAAATGTAATGGTATGCTGATTGTTGAAAGAATGGTGTTCCCTAATAAGGATATGATCCGACATCACACTTGTGTGAATACCCATTGGGGTTTTAGGGCCTCGCACCATCAAATTTCCGCCACCAAGAATGTCGACCTAACGAACACATTTCGACACCCTGTCTTCCGTTCATCAATAAACCAGACTCCCGCCAGATTCTCAAATTCATGCCTGTACGGCGTCACTCAATCGCATTTATCGATTCAGACGTCAATATACCGGGGCTAATCCCGGTCTACTACTGTGTTTGTAACACCCCCACCTCCGCCTCAGGAGTGTATCTATGACGTAGATAACAGACAGGTTTAGGGCTCTTGGTCTACCAGGGTTGAGTTGAGGTATAAAATGTGTCTTGTGCACCACACCAGTGAACTAAACTCTTTGTATTGAATGTTTCATAATTCTACATTATTCAGTATTCTCACTATCTTCTACGCGTTTCTTTCTCCGAAGAGTATATATGCATATAACGTTGCTTATCATATGGCATTTGCATGGTATATATATATATATATATTCGATCCCTGTTTATTGTTCACAACTAGATGTGGCTGGAATATTGCCATCAGAGTAGCATGCAGAAGTCACTCACTCACTCACAGTTGGTTGAGTGTTTGCATCCTACCTTCCACGGTCTCCCCTGGACTGTACGTGTGTTTCTCTAGCAGCACCACAAAGGGCGAGTCTGTTGTTTGGGCGGGAGTATGATGACGCGGCATCATGTCAGCGCATGCTCTTTCCGGTGCCCCTTTAGTGTATGCACGTGTTGAACGTGCAGACAGAAGCAGGCTGACTGTACACAACAGCGTGTGCTTCATCTGGTGTTTCATTGCAGCTTCTGAAGCAAATGTATATGGGCCTTTGTGTAATTCGAAATGAATTTCAAACATCAAACATATTTCTACAGACGTGAACATACAGTTGAACATGTACTACGACCAAAAGGCTTTCTGCGTACGCATACCTCATTACTGCATGGTAGAACACTAACCAGTGCACCGGCTCACGTGTATGTTCATCACAGACGAAAAAACTCTTTGTTGAATTTGTAAACATGAATAATATGGGTATCTTCCCATAAGACAGACCTCCCAAAAGACAGACCGCTTAAAACAACACATTTTATGGTTGGTTGCATAAGGCTTAATTAAGCTGTACCCTTGATAATAATGGTATGTGCCCAGATAAAAAAGACAGCATAAGGTATTAACTATAGTTTTATCAGTTCATGCAATGAATTATGATTTTTAAATTAAGACATATTGCATCAACATGTATATCCACATATATTTGCCAGATCATATCAAAAAACAATAATTTATATATACATGTACCTATCAAACATATGAAGGTATATCGTGATACGTATCTATTCATGAAAGTTATGTATCGTGACATCCCTTTTAGAAAGTCACTTGAACATCATCATTTTCTCCTTTCACCTTGTTCTTGGCATACAGGTAGCCATCTAGAACAGTGATCGGGAAGAAAAGTCATTGGACAAATATCATGGAAAAAGTCATGGGAAAAAAGTCATAGGAAAAATAACAATTTCCTATGACCTTTTTTCCTACAACCTGGTAGCGATGGGTCAGTAAAAGGATTAGTAATATTCAGTGTATGAAATAAGCCAAAACCCCAGCCAGACATCAGGGCTGGTAACTTCAACATGTTACCAGTCCAAAATGGATTTAATCAGACCAGACACCAAGATATGACTCAGATGTATATAACATCTAAAAAATGTTTTACCAGACCATCGGGCTGGCTAGCTGTAAATCTAGACCGTCCGTCTGAAATCTAACCCGTCTCGGTCGGTCGGACGGGCCTTATTTCATACACTGGTAATATGTTTTGAGAAGAACTCAGAAGACAAGAGTGTGTTGTTACTATACTCTATAGTGACTCTGGGTCAGCTCATTAATTAAATAGGGATAGACAGCATGGCTCAGCTAATTCGTGTACTCATTGAGTCTGTCTTATGGGAGGTCTGCCTTATGGGAGGTCTGTCTTTTGGGAGTGCAGTGAAAGTGTGTGTACTGAATACTTGGACTATTCAGTTGATTGAAAACGTTGCCTTATATTTTCTCTTTCTTTATCCCTGACGTATCTATGAAATTTGTAACCATTTGTAAATACATTGGATATAATTATTCCGATACACTGGTAATCTTGTCTTCTATGTCTGGAGATGTCGTTATGCTTGCATCTGATGTATTTTCTCCCTTACATTTTACACAGTATTTGAGACCCGCTGCCAATGTGTGCCGATGTTTAACAGCCTCAATATATATTCTAGTATTTAGATGACGTGGACTTTTGATCTGTTTGTTTGGTGAACGTCAATCAAGAGTTAACTGAGCGTTACTACTACTTTGCCATCATTTGTGGAAACCGTCTGTGATCTTTTCTACACTCAAATACACCCTTTCCATTACATATGTAGGGTGTGGCATGTTGGGTGAGGAGTGTGGGGTGTGGCGTGTGGGGTGAGGAGTGTGGGGTGTCGAGTATTAACAGGTCTAAGAACACCCTGCAAGAAATGTCTCAACATTGGTTCCCAGACACCTAAAGTAATTGGGCATGATGAATGTAGCCACTCTGCCTTACGCATTAATCCACCCTGGCTCTAACTTACGGAAATGCAGAGTGACAGATTTGCCTATGATACCCTTATGTTAAAAAATGTTCAAAAAGTCTCGATAATGTTTTTTACAAAGTGCCTGCTGAATCGAACCTGAGAATGTTAAATGGTTGGATGACTGTGTCATATATTGTTTCATAGCATTGCGTTTTGAATGAAGGTAGTTGTCAGTAATGCATTACCATCAAATGTAAGCAATGGTGTGGTAGTTAATGTAAGAGCCAAGACTGTTATTGGAAATCTTTCTAAACAGTTAGGCAAATCCTGCACACTAGTATCTTCTGGGAGGTACGAAGACCATGGAAGGGGACAAGCACACATATCCATAGTATCCCATTAAATCAAAACCTTTGGCCATCCAGCCAAGGTATATCTTGGAAGCATGTAACTGCCATGTGAATATTATTGTTACTGACTTTATTGCTGTAAATAGGGCTATTATATTGTATACATTCCATTAATAGTTGTAAAGCCACATTATTGGGCACTACCTTTGGAAATACATTGCAGTAATTTGTATTGACTGGAAAATCACTTACTGTTGCAGTTGTTATTAGTGTAACGTTTCGTTGTTGTTTGCTGGTTTCAACTTGAACTCTTTTGCCTGTAGAGTTCTTGGAGCAGTGGTTTTGAAATTGAAACAAGTCCACTGGAGGTATAGCAAGACGTATTTGGTATCGTTAGAAATCTTGGAATGTATAGGTTTCCCAAACCAGTGGTGTCAGACTGACACGTGTCAATAAATGCCATTTTTAGTTTTTCCATGGTGACCATGCTATTTCATGTTACTAGATATTGTCTTTCATGGATGTTTACATGAACAGCTAATGGCATTCTGCACTATGCATCAATAATACACGTGGATCAACATCTTCAACGGCAACGTCATGTTCATCAGTTTTGTAGCAAATCTGGACTATAATTGAACATTTTCTTGTACATATGTCGACAGAGATGTAGTATTATAGGCATGGGATTATGGTACTTATTGTACCAATAGATATGAAATCGAGATGATTAATAACAGGTGATTAAGAGGTAATGAGAGACGAATTATGACAGGGTTTAATAATCTTTTTAAGTTAGGATGTAACTAATAATATGTGTAGGGCAGGAATTCAGTAGCTGGAGTAATAAACATGAAAGTGAGGAAAACTAAGTTCTATGGATAGTCAACTTCTTTATTGCAATGAGTGCGACGTTTCGGTGTAGGTACTAACACCGTTATCAAGCTAGTGATAGAACAATTTGAAACAAGGAGAATATATACATTGCTGCATACTGAGTATATACAATTAACAAGGTTGACTACTCCCGAGGGTCATCTTTTGTTGTTGACGGTGGTTTGCCTGTGGCTTAGAGGAGGTTCTGGATGGATTTGCCTTTCTGGAACAGGACGTCTATGCCTGCTTGCTGCTGACGGAGTCGTCTTATCTGGTGGCTGACTGCTGGGATATACGGGATACTTATTACAGGGTGCTGATTGCCGGCGGGGTGGTTTATCCCTTTGGTTTATCTCTTCCCCAGAGAGGAAGCCCTTACCATCATTCGGAAAAGACCTAGACACCCACCTCAGCATCGAGAGTATAATCCGTCTCATCAACCCCTGCATTAGCTCAAACTACTTAACCTGGTCAGATTTTCCAGCAAACCCATGGGTTCTCCTCTCTCCCCTATCATCACTGAGATATACATGACGGAACAAGAAGACAAGGCCCTGCTGACATCACCCATCGCACCAATATGCTGGTACAGAAAAGTAGACGACACCTTTGTAGTTCTCAACCCCAACGACAACCCTGAACACCTCCTCAACCACCTGAATTTCCAACATCCCCGTATGCAGTTTACAATGGAAGAACAATCTGACAACAAGCTCCCTTTCCTCGACGTCCTAGTAAAGAAAGAAGACATCAAGCTCTCCACTACTGTCTACAGGACACCTACCCATACTAACCAATACCTTCACTTTACCTCCAACAACCCTCTACAGGTTAAGAAAGGCATCATATCCACTCTCACCCGAAGAGCCAAGAACATCTGCTCGAAACAGAAGCCCTAGAAACTGAGCTAAAACCTCCCCCGCCATGTCTTCGTCCATTATAACCAGTACCCCCAGAAGACTTCTTCAGCAGCAAGCAGGCATAGACGTCCTGTTCCAGAAAGGCAAGTCCATCCAGAACCTCCTCTAAGCCACAGGCAAACCACCTTCAACAACAAAAGATGACCCCTCGGGAGTAGTCTACCAGATTCGTTGTCAATGCGGAGACTTCTATATTGGTGAAACATCCCGCCCGCTCTTACTACGAATCAAAAAACATAAAGCGTCAGTCCAGAAAAACGACTCCAAATGCGCCAACGCCGAACACACCCAAGCCAACCCTGACCTATGGAACAACATCGATATCCTGGAAATCAACCAACAAGACTACAAAATTAGGAAACTCCTTGAAGCCATAAACATTCGTGATCAAGGTTATTTCATCTCCTCAGCCTATCACCACCTAATCAAAGACCACCACCAGTAATCCTTCCATACCTCCTTCGTCCATCTGGCTTCCACGCTCCCCTTTGTGCTTGCAATCACAACTAGTGTACTTCAACCTACTTTCTTATCATTAGCCAATTGTACGTCAAACTCATCAATTGTATAAACTCAACTCTAATCACAATCAATCACTCTGTACTCCAACCTCCTCTGCTGGAATCACTTATCAAATATCCGATGTACATCAACCTTGTTAATTGTATATACTCACTATGCAACAATGTATATGTTCTCCTTGTTTCAAATTGTTGCATCACTTGCTTGATAACGGTGTTAGTACCTACACCGAAACGTCGCACTCATTGCAATAAAGAAGTTGACTATCCATAGAACTTAGTTTTCCTTCATCTTCACAACTTCTAAAATGACTCTCAAAGAAACATGAAAGTAGGTCGTTAGAGCTTGCAGGGGCGAGCTGAGGTGAGTAATAGCTTAGGTATAGAACGAATCAGCTGGGCTGACGTTGGGCTGACGTGCCCGGGGATCTTGGTACCACTTCTGGGTATTATTCGAATCATGTATGGTCAGGGGTAGAGAAATTCTGGGATTCCTGGAATTTACCTCACAGCTGTTGGGCGTAAGAAATTAAAGGAGGGGGATTGTATTTAATGTACACTTACAGATTGTATATCATCTACATCAGATTGTATATAATGTACACTTACAGATTGTATATCATCTACACTTGCAGATTGTATATAATGTACACTTACAGATTGTATATCATCTACACCCACAGTTGTATATAATGTAAAGATTGCAGATTGTATATCATCTACACTCACAGTTGTATATAATCTACACTTACAGATTTTATATAATCTTCACTTGCAGATTGTACTTTAACATCAAGCACGATTACACAGTACACTATCCATTCATCTTACCTCTATATTACAGATGTAATAATCCTCATGTTGATGTCAAGATCAAGATAGTTGATTGTAAATAGGGGTTCGTGACTGATGTCAAGATCGGGATAGGTCATTGTAAATAGGGGTTCGTGGCTGATGTCAAGATCGAGATAGTTCATTGTAAATAGGGGTTCGTGACTGATGTCAAGATCGAGATAGGTCATTGTAAATAGGGGTTCGTGACTGATGTCAAGATCGAGATAGGTCATTGTAAATAGGGGTTTGTGACTGATGTCAAGATCGAGATAGGTCATTGTAAATAGGGGTTCATGACTGATGTCAAGATCGAGATAGTTCATTGTAAATAGGGGTTCATGACTGATGTCAAGATCGAGATAGTTCATTGTAAATAGGGGTTCGTGACTGATGTCAAGATCAAGATAGTTCATTGTAAATAGGGGTTCGTGACTGATGTCAAGATCAAGATAGTTCATTGTAAATAGGGGTTCAAGCACATATACACAGTATCACAAACACAGGCAGAGTATGGGCAAGGTAGATCTTGGAAAGCATCATAGCATTGTATTGTTGCTGGACAGAAGAATTCAAGCACTTGCTTAATGTCAATGAACGGGTTAAAAGGAGGCCTAATTTTACATGAACAGATTTTTTCTGGAATGGTGACAGATATTTCTGTGAAAAAAACTCTTTTCTAAAATCGATATATGCATCACATACACATCACAGATGATATTCGTGTTCAATATCCGCCATAACGAGTATAGATACATGTAGATATAGATGACCACACTGTTAGGGAAGATAGATACATGTATGTGAAGATGCATAACTGTGGCTTACTTTACCTTTGACACTCACAGCTGTATGCACCTTCAATTGACGATAGATCGCTTTGTAGAGACCATACGATAACCAGACCACAGGACAGCAATGTTACATAGATGTATGTGTATATCACACGACCATTGTGTTATAGATTACCACACCATACGTGAAACATGTATCTGTATAGCACTTGATTGGTGTGTTATCTTCCTCAAGGTAGCAATAGGTCGCATGTTGTCCACCATGTTTAATCGAGCAAACCTACTGAAAGATGGCGTGTTCTGCCGCTGAAGTGTTAACCCGTGATACGACGGGTAAATCCACCTAATCTGGACACATAATTTCGAACGGATAAAATATTCAATCATTAATGGATGCGGCAACATGTCCTTTATAATCATATATATCACAAAAACATATATATATATATATATATATATATATATATATATATATATATATATATATATATAATGTTTTACCATTATCTGTTATAAGTGAAGACAATAGTGTAAACCTCTTGACACTTACATTCATTCAGGACCAGAGGATACTCTGAGATTAGAGTAGGTTCTTTTCATATTATCAGAAAGACTGTTGAACTGCCCGTCCAAGAAAGGCACGATGCCTTCACGTCGTTTTGTCATAAAACATGGGCCGACACTGCATTCTGGACGTCGTGATCTGCTGCAGTGTACACGGTGACAACATTACCACACAGAGGGAAGAGTTTCTACGGGATTACTACAGGGTTTCTGGGGGCTACTACAGGGTTTCTATGGGATTACTACAGAGTTTCTACGGGGTTACATGGTTTCTACTGGTTACTACAGGGTTTCTGGGGCTACTACGGGGTTACTACAGCGTTTCTACGGAGCTACTATAGGTTTTCTACGGGTTAGTACAGGTTTCTACGGGTTACTACAGGGTTTCTACGGGCTGCTACATGGTTTCTACGGAGCTACTATAGGGTTTCTACGGGTTAGTACAGGGTTACTACATGGTTTCTACAGGTTACTACATGGTTTCTACGCGACCACAGGGTTTCTGGGGTTACTGCAGGATTTCTACTGCCTACTACAGGGTTCTACGGAGCTACTACAGGGTTTCTGTGGGACTACTACAGGGTTTGTACGGGGCTACTACAGGGTTTCTGGGGTTACTACAGGGTTTCTACGGAGCTACTACAGGGTGTCTACGGAGCCACTATAGGGTTTGTACGGGACTACTACAGGGTTTCTACGGGGCTGCTACATGGTTTCTACGGGACTACTACAGGGTTTCTACGGAGCTACTATAGGGCTTCTACGGAGCTACTACAGGGTTTCTACGGAGCTACTGCAGGGTGTCGACGGAGCTACTACAGGGTTTCTACGGGACTACTACAGGGTTTCTACGGACTACTACAGGGTTTCTACGGGGCTACTACAGGGTTTCTTCGGAGCTACCACATTGTTTCTACGGGACTACTACAGGGTTTCTACGGGACTACTACAGGGTTTCTACGGGACTACTACAGGGTTTCTGGGGCTACTACGGCGTTTCTACGAGATTTCTTGGTGTTTTACGGTAATTTCTACGGAATATGAGCCTCACGACGGTCATGTGACGCCAAATTCCTTGTTTAACTGTGTCCGCCTTTAAATGCCTACAGGCATATGTAAACAGAAATGCATGTATAAATGGGTGAACGACAAAGTAAAATATGAGAGAACATTCCAACACCGATGTTTTACAAATAATATATGCCTGTGACTTTATACATCCTGAAAATTTCTAAAGTTAACGGTGTGAACAAAAACCCCAATCCCTGCTACAACTGAAATATATACTTTCTACAAGAAATACACTGTTGTCATAGTCTCTGGTACTGCTGCTGTTACTACCAGCACTTCCACAACCACCACCAATACCACTACTATTAGTACTACTACCGCTCCTACTACTTCTAGTACAAAATATTACTACCAGCGCTACTACTACAACTACTGCTACTTTTGCTGTTACTTCTACTACTACGACTACTATTAGTACAAGTATCACTACTGCTACAACTACTCCCACTGCCACCTGTTACTAGTTTTACTACTATCACCATTAATATTATTATCATTATTACCTCCCCCCCCCCCTTACCACAACAACAACAACAACCACCATTGCCGCTGATGCTGCTCACACGTGATGATAACTATGCTGAGTGAACTTCAGCCTGCTGTCACTAATTACAGATGGCAGGACATAAGGCAGTGATAACGGGCATTACTCCGCAGCTGTGTACCTACCTGCTCAGAGATATTCCAGGAGAGATATATAACAGAAATATTGTCGTGATGGTGTAAACAGCGTAGAGAACACCGATTGTAACCGCGCTAGGTATATATATTTTCCAGATATGTTACGCCACGAGATAGCCATGGGTCGCCGTCATGGCGTTCTGCACTGGTTGACACGGTATTTTATCCGCATGTCATGACCACGTGACATGTGACAGGCGAAGTACCTGACGTTTTGATATCTGCCCGTTGCCCTCCCTCCCACAAGGAACATCACGGATTGCGTTATTTAACAGTTCCTTTTCTAATTGCTAAGTTCTAGATTTGTATATTGGCAATGCAGGAAAAGTCAAAGTTGGCAAAACGATACGTACGTTACTGTCGCCATGTCGGAGACGATTCACTTAAGTTAATACTGTCATTTTGAATTTGCAGTTTGGGTTTCAGATTGAATATTTAAAGAACAATGTACTTATTACGCTGCATTCAAATGAGAATAAGAAGGCAAACCATCCAAATCGGAATAGTTATAGAGTGTTGAAATGTTGTCGCCAAACTTTGGATACATACGTTGTGTTTTTCTGGATGACAGTGTAGCAGCGTACCTTTCTGGCTTAAGTGAAGTACAGTATCAATTATTTATACTCAAAACATTAACCAATTAAATTACGACAGGTTTTAACTATAAGTATAGTTCAGTATTGGAAAAAATACTTTTCAACACCACAAACAAGATGCGTAGAAATCAAGCAATACTATCATGCCAATAATTACTGCAATTTCTATAACACTTCACGCAAAACATTATACCAACAACACACATTTCTAGCATTGTAAAACAGCTCATATCACGATCAGTAGTGTGTATAGATTTGCAAAAAATGAAAATGAAAACCATTGAAAATATGCATACGTAACCGTTACATACGTTACTAGAAAGTACGGAATTAAGTGTTCGAAACAATATGATTAGGTTTTGGCTATACCTACTTCATGTGGCGACAGTCATCGAACAGCACACACATTTTGAGAGAGAAACCACATCAGTTTTATGAGGTAATGTTGTTTAAAATTCAGGTGATACCATGCATAATTAAAGACGTCATGTTAAACATGTTACAAAGTGTAATTCTTTCAAATTGTCATTGTGTGTTTTAACTACCATCATAACAAACAGGAAAGCGATGCTAAGGGCATCATTTAGTGGTCCAGTTTTCGATCAAGGCATGCTAAAGTAACTGATACATACGTTATCAACGGTAACGTAGGTAACAACATTTGTTGAAGGTTTCAAACGAAAATGTCATATCATTTGAAGCCAGAAACTTTGTTTTTTTTAAAAAAACATTCAGACTTAAACTGGCAATCAGTGTTATTTAATGTCCTTTTATTTTCACATAATGAGCTATGTGTTGGGAAAGAGATGGTCACCTCTCTGAATGATATGAAAATTGATATGAATATTTGATCGTTTCATGGGATGGAAGGATTGATGTACAAATGAAAGGTACTTTAGTAGCTTATCAGACTGACTGACTGACTGAGTTTGGTTTTTTACGCCGCTTTTAGCAATATTCCAGCAACATCACGGCGGGGGACACCAGAAATGGGCTTCACACATTGTACCCATGTGGGGATTCGAACCCGGGCCTTCGGCGTGACGAGCCAACGCTTTAACCACTAGGCTACCCCACCGCCCCAGCTTATCAGACAGAGTTTATATATTTGTAATAACATTTGGATTAGTCCTGGGTCTTTGTTATGTGAAAGAGCATAATTATAGGGTAACGTATGTATCGAAATGTATTATACATACGTTACTCATTTGTTTCTTATTTCGAGTGGGAAAACGTAGACCAGAAATTCAGACAGAATATCGGTAAATTCGGAAAGGAAAAGGACCCGCCTTCCTTGAGAAAGAACGATCGAGGATACAGTCTTGTTATGTTCCTTTTGCCAAATTTATGATGATTAATATTGATCACCCTGATATTGTCTTTATGTAGTACTAAAAACTGTAAAGGAAGAAACGATAGAATCTTGTAATCCTGAATAAAACGATGCTGATGTGTTTTAATCGTTGTTTTAGGTAAGAAAAAGTATTATTCTTCATAATAAAAATCTTATTTGAAACAATTGAATGTTGGGCTACATACGTTACTGTTTGTACTGCCAAAAGTGACTGGTAATTTTCATGAGTTTTATGTTGTTGCAACTGGCTATCGATCAAATATTTTGCTACTCATTTTTTGGTCTACTACGCCCTCAGATTGTCAGCTAATCTAGTTATCAGGTTTGATTTTAAATGTTTTTGCAATTTGTTAGTATTTTTGAAAAAACAATCTGAGTAATAATGATTTACATGTGTATGTCAAAGTACTTCTAAAGTTTTTGAGTAGACATGTGTGTTACTAAATCGCCAAACTCATGCGGAATATTTGATAGGTTACTCAAATAATTTATCACATTGTCACTTAATTCTCTAGTCAGAACAACTAGTCGCGTACGTATCAGGTGATAATATTTTATAATTCAAGGTGCCACATTTAGATAACAGCTGTGTGGTTATTTGTAAAATGGTGTGGCTGAAAAAGTGATATGTAATAGACCATATATCAAACTGTCTAAATAAAATGTTTTCGCATAGATTTTGTGTAGTTGATTTTTTACTTATGACGCTTACCCATTTGCACCTCATTGCTGAGAACGGGCGTTCAAATAACACAATCGTTCAATGTTAGTGGCAGTACATTAACTGTTACATAAAAACACCTGTTGCAAGTGACATATAGAAGACTGCCACCAGTAATACTACAGTATGTTAACTGTTCCCACATACAAAGCCTGAAATAACACAATCGTTCTGTGTAAGTAGCAGTACATTAACTGTTAGATGAAAACACTTGTTGCAAGTGCCATATCGGAGACTATCACCTGTATACTAGTATGTTAACTGTTCCCGCATACAAAGCCTGAAATAACACAATCGTTCAATGTAAGTGGCAGTACATTAACTGTTACATAAAAACACCTGTTTCAAGTGACATATCGGAGACTGCCACCAGTAATACCAGTATGTTAACTGAGGAAGACATCTGGGAAAACCGTGTATTAGTACAATCATCCTATGGCCTGTCGCTAAAGCCTGAAGACATGAAGTTCCTCTTCTTGATTCCAGAGCTACTTAAACATTCTTACGAAGACAGTTACACTTGTCCTGCACATGTCCCAGCCAGTCCTTGCTACATCCATCAACTTAAATACAAGCACTGTCTTTACACTCACAGAAAGTATTTGACAGACATAAATTAATACCATGTAGATGTTTTCCCAATTTCTCGGGCAATTTCAGAATACTTGTGCACCACTATCATAAACTTGAGGAACGACTTGGTATCTTGATACACGGGTCATCACTACACGTGTTATGGTTTATGAAACCATGGCTATGGTTCCTCGTTGTTCTAAGTTGCCGATTCCTTGTGTAAAGATGCTCGGTACAGTCTGTTAGTTTGGTCTGTTCATTGGCCAACCTGCATTGTGCCTGTGGGAACCGTTTACGAATAGGGATTCCTGCAGGGAATAGGGGAATTTTGACAGGTATGAGCTGAGAAAGTAAAACTAAAATCTTTCCACTGATTTACGCACCCGAACTAGAAATAGTAGCCACGGGTGAGGCATCCTCTAGTTGAGCAACATTCCAGCACCTCCAAGCTTTAACTTCAAACAACACTTGAGATACCATAGTTCCTTGAATATTACAAAGAGCGAATATTACGACCCTTGCTGAAAGGTTGTTGATGATACTTCAGTAGAACTAGTCGGGGCCTGAGCAGAGTACAGACGTTTCTCATGGTACATTTCGAGAACCTTTTCATTGTGATATACATTTGCGTTGTTCGAATCATACAACGTACAGCTTTTAACATGATTTGTGCCACAGGATGGAAATGCCTTTTGGCACATCAACTTTGAATAAAATGACACGCTTGTTTCAGCACAAAGCTTGCCCAAAGGGCCAGGAAGGGTCAACCATAAGCACCGTGAACAAACACAATTTATCCTCACTGAGAACAATGACTAACCTTCCAAATAGTAATATTCAGTGCTCTCTGGGAATCTATCAATTCACTGGATATTCTTCCAGGATTAAGGAAGATTTCGTTTAGTTTTCGTTTTGTTGAAAGGCACAAGCACGGCGTGTTCCGTTGACGTCTGTGTGTTTCAATAGCGTTAGTGTCGTTTGATTGTTTCATAAACGTCAGTGTTTTTCCTGTGTTTCTTTAACGTCAGTGTTTTCCGTGTGTTTCTTTAACGTCAGTGTTTTCCGTGTGTTTCTTTAACGTCAGTGTTTTCCCTGTGTTTCTTTAACGTCAGTGTTTTCCGTGTGTTTCTTTAACGTCAGTGTTTTCCGTGTGTTTCTTTAACGTCAGTGTTTTCCCTGTGTTTCTTTAACGTCAGTGTTTTCCATGTGTTTTAACGTCAGTGTTTTCCATGTGTTTCTTTAACGTCAGTGTTTTCCATGTGTTCTAACGTCAGTTTCTTTTGTATGTTTCTTTAACGTCAGTGTTTTCCATGTGTTTCTAAACGTCAGTGTTTTCCCTGTGTTTCTTTAACGTCAGTGTTTTCCTGTGTTTCTTTAACGTCAGTGTTTTCCCCTGTGTTTCTTTAACGTCAGTGTTTTCCGTGTGTTTCTTTAACGTCAGTGTTTTCCTGTGTTTCTTTAACGTCAGTGTTTTCCATGTGTTTCTTTAACGTCAGTGTTTTCCTGTGTTTCTTTAACGTCAGTGTTTTCCATGTGTTTCTTTAACGTCAGTTTTTTTCTAACCTGTGTTTCTTTAACGTCAGTGTTTTCCTGTGTGTTTCTTTAACGTCAGTGTTTTCCGTGTGTTTCTTTAACGTCAGTGTTTTCCTGTGTTTCTTTAACGTCAGTGTTTTCCCTGTGTTTCTTTAACGTCAGTGTTTTCCTGTGTTTCTTTAACGTCAGTGTTTTTCCGTGTGTTTCATAAACGTCAGTGTTTTCCTGTGTTTCTTTAACGTCAGTGTTTTCCGTGTGTTTCTTTAACGTCAGTGTTTTCCCTGTGTTTCTTTAACGTCAAGTGTTTTCCGTGTGTTTCTTTAACGTCAGTGTTTTCCTGTGTTTCTTTAACGTCAGTGTTTTCCTGTGTTTCTTTAACGTC